TTTATTCTACAACACCTAAGTATGAAGGAAATAAGGAGTTTACATGAAATTGGGGGTTAGGTCAGCACTAAGGGCTGAAAAGATGTTAAATAACATCACTTTGAAGAAAATCCATTGGGACTAGTGTGTTAGAACAATGGTAAATGAAGAACCTTGAGAGATTATGCAGGGTTGAGGGTATGAATGTAAATTAAGGAGACAGAGTATTTTAGAATTTTAGGAGAAACAGATAAAACAGCTGACTCTGACTGAAGAAAAGTATGGGAAATCAAAGAACTGTTTCATGAAATGTGGACAAGTATGAGAGATAATAGAATATTAAATAATGATCAGAGAGTGACATTTTCAGATATCTTAAAAGAGAATTCTAAGTAGCAAATTTATTCTATTTGACTGTAAAATATAGAGGCAGGAATTAAACCCATGATTTCTACTTTATTAGCATCGGGATTTAATAAATAGAATGGTATTTTCGTACCTTGATGACTCATCTTCAGTTTCACCTTGAATCCTGCTTCTCTAGGTTCAAAGTCTACATTGATTTACACATCAATTACAATTTACATATCAATATTTAAAGGAAACTTAAATAAGGAGATGGATTCTGAATTTGAGTCTAAAATCTTAACTGCAAGCATATTTTGTTTTACATAAAACATGGGGTCTTTATACAATCAGTATTTCACTACCAACCTTCTTTTCTAACAGTATGGAGGGGTAAATAAATTTTTGTTAATTGTTCATGTTGCTTATATAAATGTTTTTAAATGTACAGTACTGTTCTTGAATGAATAATTCAAGGTTTGAATGAAGAAGTGAATATATAAAGGTTATGTAATATTACTAGAGAGGTTCTGTTAAATCATAGTTAATAAGAGCCATTCTCAGCAAGACAGGATATTTAATCTCATTAACAAATACCATTTGGCTAAATATGGAATAACTTAATAAATGGTTTGCATATTTTATGTGAGAGACTTGTGAGTCTATGTTTCAATGTCCTGATTATTTGAGGTAAATTAATCTAAAACATACATTTGTCTCAGTGCTTTTTTGCCTGTTGGAATAGAAAAGACATTATAGCAAGCTATTAGATGTTACCATCTACCATTCATTATAATAAATGCATTGTTGTAAATATTTGGCTTTGCCTCTGGAAGCTTCAAATTCTTATGGTGCGAACAGTTCATTGCACTCTGGAGAGAATTTGAAACTCCTCGTAGAGCTTTCTGCATGCTTTCTCTCTACTTTACTAAAGAGCAATTTTAAACATTTGCATTAAAAATATTTATGCATCCGTAAGATTGTATCTTTAGAAACATAAAACATAAGATATTTTATAATATTTAAAAATAAAAATATATTATTTTTAAAGAAAGAAAACAATGGTTTGAATTTGGATACATAAAACAAAACAAAAAATTTAAAACATTATTTTAGAAATATTTTCTACATGTTCACAAGCTTTCTCTTATCACTGGTGATCAGAAATAAATTTATTTATTAATCTTAATACAATTATTCCAGAGGATCTGTTTATCTGATCACATCCATAGACAGGCATTGACCCTTACTTGATGAAAATATTAACAAATCAAGTTTTACTTCAAATGGCTTAAAAACACATTTTACTCTACTAGTTTTAAACTGTACTCTCTCCACTCTATCAGGTGATAAAACTGTTTTGCTAATTCTGTAAGCAAGTCTTATGTTAGCAATTATTTGGCAATAAGCTTTTAGATAGCATCGGAATCAGTGTAATACTTTCATTGTCATACTAAAAATGGCACACCTTCCAACATATCCATTTGTTGAATAAGTGGGACAATTCAGAATTTGAAAATATTGATTACCTCAGTAAATATAATCACATTTAAAGAAGATTTTTTTTTTATATTCAGATTCCACCCACACTTACGTTTCTAAGAGTCAGGTAATTGGAACAATATTTTAAAACAATGCAGCTAGATTTCACCATTTAAAATATATATAGTGTAATATTTACAACATAGCTCATAGAAAAAATAAAGAATAAAAGTTTTAGAGCTGAAGTAAAAGAACACTAATGATAGACAGTCCATGATAATGCTGGAAATCACTGATTAACAGCTAATTACAGAATCATAACTGAGAATTGTACACTGAACATGGTTGTGTTTCAGTATGAAAGAAAAGAAAGCTAATTTTCCCCATGAACTTCCCATGGAGCTCTGAATCTAACCAGCTCACATGATAGAAATTTATGAAAGTACAAAAGAAAGTAATGTGGTCAAATCAATTTTAACTGAAATTTAAAATAATAAATATAAAGAGAGGAGATATAGGAAAAATGAAAACGATCCCCATTGATTCTACAATTAAATGGTAGGTATTTTTTTAATAGAATTAAAGTTTAATCAAACATTTGTAAATCAAGACTTAAAAAAACTAACTTAGAAGTCTACAAAAGAGAACATTTGATTTATTAGAGTTTTTTTTTATTAAAATGTACTCTTTCTAGAGTATTTTTATGGGCTAATTCTTTTAAAGCATGTGACATTGTCTTTAATAGCAGTTATCAAATGAGTCAGTAATATATGGGTCATGTCCAGTGTTTCCTAGAAGCCTGCTTTTTACTAAAGAAACAGATTTGGTCTCTTCGATTTTATTAAATGTCTGAAAGGTATAATAAAAAAGGAATCTGTCTGCAAGATGATCCTTTATTTTTAAAGTAGCACTTTGCTAGCTTTTCAGATTCAGTAAAATCTTGTGTCCAATAATACCAAATGGTACATTTACTTTACAGTACATGTTAAATTTGGAAAGTTGTGCTATGTGTTTAAGCACCAAGAAATTCATTGGATAACAAGAGGATCAACATAAAGAATAAATTCTGTCAAAATGTTTTTTAGATTTTATTTTATTTTTTAAATCAAAAACAGAGTTAGACTCCGGATCTGATTACTATGAACTTTTAACTGGTTAGTCCCACATGACATATACTCATTAATAAACTGAAAACTTCTTGTTCAGGCCACATTGATGAATGACAATCATTGTTTCAATGATGGGATAAATTAAATAGATTTTATTAGTGAAAAGATTTGAGGGTGAGAGGGTGAGAAGGTTTAGTTTAGTTCCACTGAACACTTTTATGATGTCTTAAAGAGGCTAAATTAAGTATAAAGATTACAGTTTAGAGAATTTGAATTCAATTAAAAATAAGAGAATTAAAGCAGAGATGTTACAAAACTTTGTCGTTTTGAACTTTGATAATTTAATCATCATATAGAATTCAAATAGAGTCCAGAAGGGAAAACTTAGGTATTTGGAATATCATTAAAATAGGAAAAGCTTAAGAGAATTTGATTCATTTTGTGTAAATAGGATGTGACTGAGAATTTCAGTGCACATATTGTTGGAACCAAATAAATCCAGCATACCGTGTGGTTCCAATGGAACTGAATTAATGAAATTCTGATTGTCTTGGGAAAGACAAAGATCTAATAGTATCACAAATTATTCTTTTATATTTCTGGTACCAAAAGTTACCATTTCTTCTGACCTAATCCAATACTTTAATCTAAAAATAATTGGTATATTGAAAATATGTCTGTTCTTTTGAAATTTTATTCAAACCAGTAAATATAATCACATTTAAAGAAGATTTTTTTTCATATTCAGACTCCACCCACACTTATGTTTCTAAGAGTCAGGTAATTGGAACAATAAGGATTTTTAATATATTTTATCAAAACTCTTACACCATTGTTCTTACTGCAAGAAGGACACAGAATGCGTTTGTAGGAATACTTGGCTTTCCCTTTCACCTTTTATTTACTTTTTCCATATTACTTTCACTCTTGATCAAAGCATCAGAATACTCTGGAGTTTTAGGGAAAGTATATTTGCTGATTTCATAAGAGTTCATCCCAACTCTTTTTAAGTTACCAACCTCTAGGTGGTTACTTTTGAGTGCTCTGGGCAAGCAAAAAGCCACCAAACTTATGCATGAAGGGAGAGAATATGTTCTTTCCTTTGAGGAGCAAGTGTTGGTAACCCCTCTTGCCATTGGGAGCAAATTAAACACTAAAAAATGAGGACATTTTGTTATGTAAAATTTTACAATTATAAAATGAAGTCCTTTTGTATATAACTAAGAATAAGAGGAACACACAATCATGATTAAAGCTCTTGATTTGTATTCTTTATATAGGTCTTTATTTTTATTTTACAAACCTCTTTTAGTGACCACTACATGTGAATTTTTTAATATTTAGTAAAATGAGTGGTGTATAGATTACCTTCAATCTTTCAATTCATTGAAAATGTATAGTTGTAGAAATGCATAGTTGTAGAATGTGTAATTGTAGAAACACATTGTGCTGAGTTTTGAGGGAATGAAAAGATAGAAGAGACATAATTCTTCTCCTGAATTAATACATAAATACCCTAAAAGAACTTAAATAGAATATTTTTCAAGTATGCAGACAATATTATAGGTAGTATTCAGAATCCTGAATAATATTATTAGTATAATTTAAAGTACATTATTATTACTCTTTAAATAACTTGAAACTAATTGGTTTTAACAGCACAAGTAATTAAATAAAATATTAACTTGGATATCAAACAACAACATATTTCTGTTCAAACAAAATAACATAAATATAACTTGTAATTAAAGGGTTGTTTTCAGTATTAAAAAGCAGACATTCAAGAAATAATTAGGGTGCAATAAATGTATGTGAGTTTTTTCTTAATAGTAAATTGTATTATTGACAGAGAAATTGAGTCATCAAATAAATATTTGTCTCTCTGCTTAATAAAAAATATAAAAAATTGCTTAATAGAAAATTAGTAAATATTTATAAAGCACACATAAAATCTAACTTTCCAAACACATTTCTATAATAAATATCCCATGTAATTATACACTTAAAATTGAAGTCCAAGAGGGTAAATGTACCACAATTGAAGAAAACATCAGGATTTTGAAAGCAAAAGAAAAACAATATTACCTAATAACAGCAACTTTACGGTTCTCGCATCTCGCTCAGCATCTTCCTGAAGCTTTTTCTCCAGTTCTTTTGATCTTTTGGCCGACTCCTTGCTCTCTGAACTAATTCCGCTTCCCATCTTGTGTGGTTAGTTAGATACTCGTCAGTTTATTTGCTCAAACTTTTTCAGATGTAGAGCACAGCTCTGGTTTCAACATAAGATGCAAGAGCAGTGTTCTGCTGTAGTACCCAACTACTCATACCCTCCCTCTCTAAAATTCTGCTTTGACTAAGGAGATGTTTTCTGAGCCATCACCTGATCAAAAGGTGTCACCTGATCAAATTAAATGGTCACTTCTGGCACATCTTCCAAAACCTGCTCATCTTCCTTAAAGAATAGCATACAATAATGTAGAAGTTGTCAAAATCTATACACTTAAGATAATCTGCAATGAGCAGTTCAAATGGAATGTTTCACATTAATAGCCAACTTTTATTACTGTGATTTTAAGTTATTATAACTTAAGAACAAGTTGTATCTTATTTTCAGATATTAGAGTCCTTAAATTCTTCATTATCCCTCTACTATTGCTATCAGAATATTTATATTGAATTATTCAAATTTATAGTCTCACTATGTTCAGATTTTATTACTCAAAATTATTGAGAATCTCAGTATCTGTCAGTTAACTAGAAAACCACTTAAAAAAAAAACAAAAAAAGATGTACTTCTTATATTTATATGTATTGTTGTATTGCCACAAACATAGAATTCAACACACAGTGCTCCTAAATTACTGATTTTAGTCTCATAGGATCCATTTCTATGAATTGAGCTTTTACTGCTCGTGAGAGAGTCAATTATAAACATTAATTGAGGATCCACTTGGTATAGACACTGAACTATGGTAGTACATTAACTATTTGGGGCCGTTAAGCAAAAGCTGTTATGCTGGAAGGACTTTTATTGATTTGATATCAGGGGAATAAAAAGCAATCTTCTTTAAACAGTAGGTAATTTAGTTCTTCATCAAAAGTAAGAATAGTAAATCCATCCAAATATGTTCTATGCCTTTCAACTACCACAATAGATTTCATGATTTCTTGAAGATCTCCAAGTCTGGGGACAGAGATTATGTTGTACAAGTTTTTATTACATGAAGCATAAAGCACTTGTTAGGTAGTCAATCAACATTTCCCTTTTAAACAAAGCTGGCTACCTCTGGCAGCAGGCAAATCTTTCAATGTACATTTTGGGGTCTGTGAATGCACCTAACCAGGAAATGCTAGAGTATAGTCAGTCAATCAATATGTCAGTGCTGCTCTTCTTGTGGGATCATGTGAAAGTTTGTACAGGTGGGTTTTTGCATATTCATACAAGAAGGAAATAGGCTGCCAAATTAAATACATATTCCTGCTTTGTTTACTTTTTCACATAAAATATTAAGCTGCAGATATAGAAGCATGATCTGGATTTCATTCTTCTAAAGTCATGTTATGATAGTCTAAATATGTGGAAAGGTAGGAATACAAGAGTTGGTGTAAATCATGTGGTATTGTTTTTACAATGCAAAGGACGTACCTCCAAAGGAACAAAATTTGCACTGCCTGGTTTATTTAAACTCATCCATGAGTAGAGTCAATCTGACAGCAGCACACACACACAAAAAACCCCCACAAACATTAAAATAAACTTTTTGCTTATTGTTTTTGTATCAAAATTGAATATATGAAGTACCCTGAATGTACAAGATTCTTGTAGATTCCATAGCAATTGCAAACTGATTGGATACTTTTATAATTTGTATTTAAGTAAATATACCCCATAGCTTTTTGGTGGGGACGTTCACTGGCTTTGAAAATGTACATGTTTTATGAAGAGTTTCTAAGTGGGTTACTGACTAAAACTGACCAACTCTTTTGGGAGAAGTGTACATTTTCTGTGCTGTATAAAATTATAAACTTCTACTTTTCTGTGTAAGCTAGAAGTTTTAGTCATCAACTTTATGAGATGATAATGTGATAGTTTTCATCAGTGCCTAAAAAATCTTGACATAAAATTCAAGATGTATCTATATATAGGGGAAGGAGGTTGGGAAGAAGCAGAGAGAAGAGAAGGTTTCTTTCGCTCTCCCCTAGGTTCCTGGAACACAGCTTCACTAATGAGCTGGAGTTGTTAGTTCATGTTCCTTCACTTAGGATTATAGCTGTCTGGACCAAAAAAATAATAATGAAAATAAAATAATAAATTCCACTAGAGTGGAGACAATATCTTATTAACTTGTATGTCTTCCACAGTATTTGGCACAGTGCTAGCCACAGGAAATGTTAAAAATTATTTCTTGCTAATGAATTGATAGAGGCCTAAAATCCTTTTATCTTTTTGTGCTATGCTGAGGTGACCAGATGGTTAGGGTTTCTTTCCAAGGTTCAGTGTCATAGTTGTCTACGCTTGTATTTTTTAAATTTTACTTTATTATTTTCAAGTATATAGTATATTGGTTAGACATTTATATAGTTTATAAAATGGTCCCCCTAATTGCTCTTTTTCTCATCTGGCTCTCTATATAGACAATATATTAATGCTAACAGCATTCCCTATGCTGTGCTCCCCCTGCCCATGACCATCTATTGACTACTATCCCCCTCCCCTCTGTCCTTCACCAGATTGTCATTTTTGATTAGTTTTTTCTTTTTGTTCCTTAGTTTCCACATGTAAGTGAAATCATATGGTATTTATTTTTCACTCAGCATAATAATCTCTAGGTCCATCCATGTCGTTGCATTGGTTGGATTTCAATTTTTAATGGCTGAGTAATATTCCATTGTATATATGAACCAAAATAACTACTCTAGAAATTTTAGAGTGAATCAAAAAAAAAAATCAATGAAAAACCCAATGTTTGTCTGAAATAATGTCAATATACACAATTACTACTGTCAGTTCAACATTTACATTTTTTCTCAGCCTTAAAATTAACACCAGTACACTTTTTTATTTCTATTGTTAAACCTTGTTCAATACTGAGAGAAAATTGATAAAAGATGACAACAGGAAAATTAGATGCTTTTTATTCAAGGAAAAATGTGGCCCTAAATTTTGTTTTTTCTTGAAAACAAGAAACTATCCAAGATACTATCATGTTAGAGTACTACATATTGCCATGTATACACACACACATACACACACACACACACACACACATACTAGCATTCACAACACATGCACACACACAGAAAGCAGAAGACATAGTGTTGTAGTGTTATGGTCTTTTAAAATAATCATTGAGAATGACTTCTAAAAACCTTATTTTTGTTTGTTTGTGTGTGTGTGTGTGTGTGTGTGTTTGTTTATTTTTGGTATCACAGTGTTGGCCTGATTAAGAATATTGTTTTTATCATTAGACTGTGCAAGAAAGAAAAATTGACTTAAGGTAAAATAAAGAGAATGAGCTCTTGGCAATAAAGGTCACAGAAATATCATAAGCTTGCATGGTGCAAGTAATTTTTCTTCTTGCTATTCCACAGGGTCTCTGTGGAATCTTCAGAAATGGATATTAGCCTTTAAAAAGTTTGGGTAATCATTATTGTAAATTTATAATTCAATACCTAGCTTGAGAGAACAAGTAATTTTTTCCCACCTGCTTTTAATATTGAGATTTCAATCTATGTTTTTGGAGATGTCTCTTTTGCCAGTATTAGTGGGGTTCTGCAGTCATTAAATTGTATTTCCTTTGAGTATGTGACATGTGGCTGACTACAATAAGTGGCTCCAATGGCTGAAATTCCCTCTGGAAATTGTCAATACAGACTGCCATCTGTATTATTCTTTATTTTGTTTTCATATTTTATAAGAGTTGTTGACTCCAGGCACTGGGTCCCTGGGTGGTTTTAGTCCTGGCTGCCTTAGTAAGACCTTTATTCTTGTATATTCCCATGAAATTTGAGGCAAACCCTCTTTCCTTTGCTAATGGTACTCAAATATGCACTTCTGGGAGCTCTGAGCATGGTATTTCCTCCAGATAGTTCATGTCTTTGGGGACTTTCTGAGAGAAGTCTTTTGATCTTAAGGGAATAAGGCAAACAAAACTTGCCCTTTCAAATGAGCGCATTCAGATGGTGCAATAAGTTTACAATGCCAACCATAAGCAGCTCTTATGTTCTAAGAGATCATACAAATATGCGTTTTTATTTACTGGAGTTGAATTATACTTTTACTTAGTCTACATACTCTTGTTGATGGATTAGGGTATGATTATATATAATGATTATGGGAAATAAAATGTTACAAGCCTAATTGCCAAAAAAACTGAGAATCATAATTATTTCCAAAGAGAACTCTTCGTGTCCCAAATTCTGTCTTTAGAAATTTTTAAAATATGTCTCTTTAACACATCATTTCTACTACATACTTCCTTAATCTTATTCTTAGTAACTTTAGTCCTGATTATTGCAACTACCTCTTACTTAGGTTTCCTGATTCTAGTCACTGACTATCCCAGTCTAACCTGTATGTGCCGAGTTAAATTCTCTAAAATCCAAACTTTATTATTACACTTTTCTTGTTGAAAAAACAAAGAACTTATTTCTTACTGTTATCTTAGTCCTGCTGCTAAACACTCAATAATCTAGTTCGCACAACCCAACAATGCAAATATATTTCCCATTATTTCTCATAACACATTTGCAATTTTGGCTGAGCTTTCATCTCTTTCCTAATTAGGTGTCCCAGCTTAGCTTTTGCTCATACTTTTTTCCTCACTAGTAATATCTTGCTCTTCCATAGCTGACTTTTTCCAAAGGACCCATATGTTAAGAAAGAACCAGAGAAGTATATTCTACATTATGCTTCACATCTACCATCACCATTGTGTGATTCTTTACCTTCCAAGTTCCTAAGAGAAATCTTCTGCCAGTAAATTTGTCTTTCCTCATTGACTAGGCAGGATGGTTTTCAGCGATTGTGCCCTCTGGTCGTTCTCTTCTTTTCGCAGGCTCTAAACTCAGAGTACATAAAAGAAAATCTTGTTTATTAAAATAATTGGTGAATAGTGAGTGATCAATAAATATATGGTGTTTGACATCTCTTTGCTCCATGTTGGAAATGCATTATTCTCCTTCCTAAATGATTGAGAGTATGAAATATTACCTCTAGAATTACAGGAATTCATTTATTCAACAATTGATATATTCAACAATTGTTATATACCAGGCATGAGAGATTCAG